TATGGCCTTCCGTTAAACGACGAAATTCACTTCGAAAGACTAATTGACAATTATTCTTTGAGCCCGAATGGGCTCTGAGTCGGTCATAAGGGTGAGATGAATAATTTTTTTGAAAATCCAACTAGTTGGTCAAAAATATTGAAACAAAACAACTTTAGCTAGCAAAACGCGATTCGGCAGCCCATTGTTTTGGTTTTCAAAGCCGGCGTTTTTCGCTACTGGTAGGCTATAACATATAGCCTAGTAGTGGCTGAACCAATTAGAACGCAGCATTGATGATAAACCACTAGTTAGATTTTATTAAAATACTTTAGTTGGGTGTTGAACTAATTTGTAGAGAGAAAATGGTTTGTCTTTGCCGGTGTTTGGTTACATTGTAGGGTCTTTATAAGTACACACGTTAATGCTAAATGGTGATTTTTATCAGTATGCAATTTTTTGGCTGTGAAAAAACTCAGCATTTCTATACAGCCTTGATGAACTACAGAAATCTACGAATTAATATCATTTTAACTGATATTGAAAAAATGAAAAACAAAACATTCAGAAAGGACATGCAATGGATTTTCAAATACTAGTGAGCTAAAAAATAATTTCTATAAATAACGATCGCCATTGGTTCTCACGATAAACTTGACCAGGTTTTTCACTAAAGTTCCTCGCGCTTCATTGTAGCCGTTTTAGGTCCTTGTTGTAGCGTTTGAAATATATTAAAGACCCTTCGAAGAAACTGAATACTTTAACTAATATTATCTGTTTGCGAAATAGTTGATTTACTGTTATTAGTGGTAAAAAAATTGACTGGAAAAACTTCAAAAAAGTGGCAGAAATTGTTTAACAACTTTACAGAGGGTGAAAATGAAATAATCACTATTAATATAACAGATACAGATACTTAAAAATGCATCGAAAGGAATCTTTTTAGTATTTTAAAAAACATATTTTCTTGTCGTATTGAAAGCTTTTTAAAAAAGGAAGCAATTATTTGTCAGTATTGATATCTTCATCGTTATTGCCACAACTTCGTGTTCATTAAATCTGTGGTATTGGAAATGGAAACGAAATCCTGTTATGGTGTGAAAACGTTTTCAAAAAGAAAGGAAGCAATTATAAGTTAAGTAGAGTGTGACCTCATTACATATATTAGCCGCAATCATGCTCTAATATATCGACCAGTTTGAATGAAAATATGCGCATCTCATCAATAGCATAGAGAAACTAGGCGAAACAGGGACACTGAGCTGTTTGAAACTGGATGAAAGAAAGGTTCACGTACAGGACAGAGTCATAACGTTAACCGGAGAGATAACCAGAGAGGTAAATAGCTATAACATTACTGATTATGTTCGTCGAATAAATCGTTGTTGATATTTACAGGCTCCAGACTCACAGACTGAGCGGCACTAGTGCCTAACACATACTTCAAATGCTATCAATTTTTTTTTTTTTCAAAAGATAAAGCAGGTTAAAAAAATTACGAAATATTACAAATTATTGTATCACAGGATATCTCTGCCATAGTGACTTGTATATAAAAGTACTAGCGACACAGCTAGTAGCCTGCGATGGCAGACGCCATTTTCGGCTTTTTGCTTCAAAATCATACATCGTAAACTCAAAAGACGTCTACTCTCTAAGGATACTCGTCAGTGTTGTTAATTAACAAAAATCTATGGATATCAGTTGATCGTCTGATCGACTAGGAACATGTTTTCTCCAAAAGAGGCCGCCCAGGATCGGAAAAAATATGAGATATCGAGATGAAACCTGGCGCTCGAAGGAGAGTTCATTTGAATAGTTATTCAGATATAAAGTTTTTTCAGGGACTTCAGTGCAACTGTCATGGTCTCGTGAAAACACGTAAAGGGGCTATTTATAATTCAGTTATTGAAATATTTACTATGTTAAAGGTTCAAACTGCAGTGGGAAAGCCTTTTATTTATGTTTATCAACACTGAAAACCACGTAAAAACAAATGAAGAGAATTTGAAAGGATCATCGGAGATACAATATCCGTGAACTGATATTGAGATAACTTTTAAAACACCAATTCATCCAAAAACAACTGTTTCTTTTCATTAAATCTTGACTAGTTTTGGTAAATTATGTTCCATCGTGGTTTCTTTTTTAAGTCTTTGTTTTCTTTCATAGCTTTAAGCAGATATTTTGACATTTCACCCAACTTCAAATCATTTGAAAATTAACCAACTGCGTGACAACACTTTTTCAAAACGACAATACCGTTTCAATTTAAATATAAAAAATTCAAGCATAAACAAAATGCCAACAAATATACTTAAGTAGGTTTTGTGATTGTGCCTCTTAATAGTAAGTATTTTCTTACGTAAATTTTTACAGTGAAGATCACCGCCCTATCATTGCAACTCCGGCGAAGTTTTCTACGATTTTTTTCAGAACTTTGATCGATTTTGAGTAAAAATAAAAAAAGACCGTCAATATTGGCCATTTTGAAGATCAGCGAGAGACTGGGTCTGTGTTGTGTTGAACGGCACTATGGGATTGTTTTGGAGACGCTTTACTTTAATTGGCTATTACGAAGTTGAGCAGGAAACTAGGGCAAAATTCGTCCCTCAAAGCAATCCCATAGTGCCATTCGACACAATATCGACCCAGCTTCACCCCGTCAACACTTATTTCCATCCGCCAAACTGGTGTTGACAGATTAATGATTCGTACACAAAGTAAGGGTTAGGGTTAGGGTTAAGTTTAGGTTAGGGTTAGGGTTGTTGCTATATGTATTCAAATCAAACCATTTGGTTAGGGTTACGGTTAGGGTTAGGCGACAGAGAAATTTCATGTAAGAAAAGTGAACTGTCTTGTGAGAGCCACTGAGAGGAAAATGTCAGTTTGGCGGATGGAAACAAGTGACGACCGCTTCACCCGCGGCAACTTCAAAATGGCCAATTGACAGGGATGGAACGCTCAAAATCCCCGAAATTTGTCAAAAGACAAAACATTTGTCGAGTCTAAACGAAACTATAGTGCCATCTTCACTGTAAACACATACAAATGTTATCTCGGCAAACATAATAAAAATCATTAAAAAAAATGAGTACAATTGACGCATCATCAAAGGCAGCAATAATTAACTCCACGAAACTGAGGGGGCTATTCGCATGATACCGGAAATGACTTTTATTCCGGAATGAGTTCATTCCGGTTTTCATTCCGAATGAAATTCTCGTTCTGGAACGAAATTTCATTCTGGTATCATTAAACTGAAAACGAACGTCGTTCTGAATTGAAAATCGCAAATCGTGTCAGTCTGCGGGCAAGTGGCGCATGCGTGCCTGATCTGGCGCGAAAACCACGCGAGTCAGAACGCCTAAGGCTGCCAGACGATGTTATCATGTCAATGCAGTACAAACTTCACTCTGGAACCGAACTCATTCCGGAATGAAAGTCCTTCCGGTATCATGTAAATAACATGATCCTCAATTATCCTCAAATAACATGGTTACCCGTAGATTTTTCAAAGTGGATAAATAAGTCCTAAAGTGACCATTCAAATGAAACACCCTCAGTAGTTCTTTCATACAGCACCACTATCTTTTTGGTTTTGTCTTGTTTGAAAATGGGTATTTGTCTCAAATATGTACTTTGGAAACTTAAGGGTCGCCCACGAATTAGAGAAAGCTAGCCTCGTTTGCACTAGTTTGCTGCATTCAAAACTAGTGCAACTTTCTTAAATTTCTGGTCAAAAGATTTATGGGTCGCAGGAAATCTTGTATGGCTGTTTATCACGATTAAATTGGGTTTAATAACTGTTATTCTTTTCGTCTTAAAATGAGCTGTCATATTGAGTAGAACAATTTGAATTTCTCAACGCCATAGAGGTTTTTTTTAATAAATAAAGCAGTCTTTTCGTCATGAACTTTTGTGTTTTGAAAGGGCCAAATATTTGTTTTGATATTAAAATTTTGCAACGCGGAAGACGTAAAAAGTGATTTGTTCCTCTAGTCACAAAACAAAAGATAAAGCGGGTTATCGCCTTTATTAATAGCGGTGTGTGAGTGTTATTTTGGTGGCATTTAAGATGAAATGAAGATCGATCAAGATAGTTTTCGCTAATTGTTTTCAACATGGCTCTAATAAAAGTGAGAATTCAATTTGAATTTTGAAAACAATCGATCAGGGTGTTAATGGAAAAGAAATCAAACAAAACCAAAATGAACAAGTTTAGTTCTGTCAATAGACTTCACTTTTAAATGGGAACAATTTGACACCTTGCCAAAAGTAAGTTAGTAAACCATCACGTTTAATTTTCCCACCAACTTAAAAATATTACTATTTTTGCTTTTTAAAGGTAAACAGAGCTTAGGGCGTTTTCATGATCTCTGATTGAATCTCGCCGGGGGTTTCAAAATATCACTAACTGTGATTCTTGTTATGTATTTCATACAGACAGAGGAAAAGAAATTTACTAACCTGTAGAAGAAAGGCAAACAGCAAAACCGCCTCGAGGAAACTGTGAAATCCTAGCTCTTTTCGGTCACGAGAAGATACCAGAAGTTCGAAAGAAACGGATTTTTCTGAGGACCTAATAAAGTCGACTCCAAAGCTTCTCTCCACTGAGCGTGATCACGGACTGGAAGGGATATGAAGTACGAAGGTGGAGACAAAAGCAGGCATGTCTTGACGTCAAACAGCTTGAATGTTTGATCTTTCTGTAAATGAAAGACCAGCCTGGGTTTATTTAGAGGGACAATTTGCAAGATTACGTGGCAAATTAAAGATACAACTTTGCATTTGATTCTTCTGGCAAAGTAAAATATTTATAGTTCCTCGGGAAGTTTTTTTTTTATCTTTGAGAGGAAAACGTGAGCTGATTTCTCCGTCGATCAGCCGTACAAGTTGTAAACGTGCGATATCTGGCAAACAACCGAGGAAGTGAGTTCAAGAAACAGGCGGGTATAAACTGTCAAGATATATCTTTGTTATTTGCACAGGTTGCACGTAAAGGAACTAAAACAACAAATATGAGTCCCGAACCTGAGCCCGAATATCGGCGCAATGCCTCATTGCTTGAAACGGAGCGGAAGGATTCCGACTTTCTCCCGAAAGGCGAAAAAACGATTGCCGAACCCCTTCCGGAGTGGTCGAAAGCCATCAAAGAGTGGGGAGTTGCATGGGAGTTTCACCAGTACGGTCTGGGTGCAGTTTACGCCTTACTATTCTTTATGATATCAATGTGGCTATGGAAACGTATAAGACGAGTGCTTACTGGTAACCAAGGCAACAAAGTACCTATTATTGTTTTAAGCCTTCTTGGCTTTTTCTGTTTAACCAGAAGTTTGTGTCTTTGCACTGATGCTTATCACTGGAGAAAAATCACCCCGGTGGCTTTTGTTAATGTTCTCTGGGGTATTGGCCAACCGTGTCTCATCGCAGCTTACACCTTGGTCTTCACTGTAATGCGAAACGCACTAACGCTCAAGCAGCATTTTCAACAGTGGTACAACACAAGAAACATAGCAATAGCCACTCTACCGTATTTTATTTTTGCGCTAGCCGCAGAGCTCACTTTGTTATTCGTACCTGCGTACAAAGGCCTCACTTTTACTTGTCAGCTTTTGTACATCTTGTTCGGCGTTTCTCTAACAGTATTCTACGCAATAATATCAGTTTTGCTCTGGAAAAGACTCTCCATCTCCAAAAATCAATGGGCAACGGACACGGCACGGGCCCGCGGCAAACGCACCCGAGCAATCTTACGAACGTGTATTGCAGCCGCGTTTGGCGGTCTCAGCATCTGTGCCATGCAATTCTATGCCATGACTAGCGTGTACGGCGTGTTTTCGAATGCACGAAGCGTACCTGCTTGGCCGTGGTGGGCGTTCCAAACGACCTTTCGAGTGATTGAGATTTGCATGGTAGCAATTCTCTGCTACGCTGTAAATGACAGAGGAGTGGATGCGAAGAAAGGTGAAATAGCACCTTCAAGTATTGTCTCAGAGGCGCAATTTAAACCCAACGTGGTTGAAATGAGTGAACAAATATAATTGGCAAGAAGGTGAACCTAAAAACGTTAATTATAACTGTTGAACATTTTTGCTAGATCTGTATATTTCGGTCAGTATAACAAACAGGAATCCCCACCCCCACCCTTTCATCCCCTGATCAAAGTTGGCGCGTTAAGCTGTAACCATCAGGAAACCGAGCCGGCATTGCCCACGGGGAGGTCTGAAAACGGGAGGAGGAGCGGGGGGGGGGGGGGGGAGTGAGGAATCTAGACATTTTTTTTCAAGAACTGTCTACTACGAAGTGTCGCACAAAAGAGAAAAATGTTGCCGGGAGAAAATGGTTACCTTTTCCGAATTTTCCAAGCTTCCTTTTCAAAATAAGTGTAAGTACGAATACTCTACGTTACGAAGAATTTTTCTTATGCCCAAAAAAATTCATTTAAATACGAAGGGTTTTGCATTCTCCCTCATTTGGAAAGGGCTTTAGCCATCTTAAAATGGCCTATCGCTATTGTTGTGATTATGATGGAATCAATGGGGTACAAGAATTGTTATTGATAACAAACGAGGCCACCAAGCCATGGCAAGGAAAGTAAACTGCTTTTAAAGTTTTAATTACGAGCGTAACTGAAATAAAAAGATAACGTGTACCGAATCTAAGGTGTGAACTAGTTAACGCTTCCTCACTTGATCGTGTAACTTGACGGTTTTAAAAAGCAAGATCCACTGGGCTTGACGCCTTACTTGCCCAGCACGCACACCAAGCCCTGAGATCTCTAGTTCTGGAAGTTATAGCTTTTTCCGCAGTATATACGGTTAAGGAATTACTTTTTTCCAGAATCCCTTATTTGCCTAGCGACCTTGACTCGCCGTAAACCTTATGTCGTGGCATTTTCTTCCTTAGAAATTGTAAAATTGACGTTTTCGAGACTGATAAACCGAATTCATTGGAGCCACTTTACAGTGTAAATTGATTAACTATAGTTAATAATCTTCGTTAAGTGAATGAAATACAGTAAAAACTACCTCACGTCCCTAACGGCTTAGTTTTTTAACTTCTAAAATATATTATATTTTGTTGGTAAAAAGACCGTGGAAAAAGTCATTTTAATTGACACAGCAAAAACCCAACCACCCCATACCTTCTGCCTCTCGACCCCATCATCTGCCTCCGCTCACAAGTCCCTAGTGGTCATGCGCAGCAGAGCTCTTGAGTCGAGACCTGTCCTCCGACGAGTCACGCAGTGGTCACCAGTGTTTAAACCTGAAGCGTAGACGCTTTACCCGTGTCTAGCAGACCGGAGGAAGTCGTCAATCGAAAACTGGGGGACATCGAAAGGACAATTTCGACACCGTGGTATAGTATACGTTATAAATTTGTGAGCAACAAGGTTGAAGTTGTAGTTGCCTTGAGGACGGTTTCAAACTCTCAAGGCCGGAAGTACATGAACGTATGCGGAAATCGACCGAAATATAAAGAATTTCTGTTTTAATGTACCATGGCTACAAAGTATGAATTACCCGAAGAAGCTGATGACAAACTACTTAGCAATTTGGGAAAGGAAGTTGAAATGAAGACCTTTAAAACAAACGTTCTCCCGAAGTTAGTGTGTGACAAAGATCAAGTGCTGATCATCAAAATTCTTTGCCTTGGAGACTATACCGGGGGAGTGGAAAAAGGGGTGTTTATCAAAGATTATCTGCAAGTCACACCACCGGTACCTACCGATCAGAAACCACTAATCGGTTTCGACTTTCCCTTGAAAACAATAAAATGGGAAAAAGGTGGCGATCACAATCCATGGCCAATTACCATCAAATTACTTTTATTTGAGGTGGCAGAACAAGAGCGCTACTGTACACACATGAGAAATTTGTATTATAGGGACAGTCATGGGGCCTTTTAAAATACTCTGGGGTCCGGGCAATTCATCCTCACTGGATGGAGCTCCGAAATGGTTGAACGACGTGAACAGAGTTTGTCCATCAATTCCGTGCGTTCTTGTCACGGACAACACTTCAAATAAGCCTCTGTACGGTCCTGGCGAGAAATTCGAGAGTGAGATGGCATTTGATCAGTTCTGGAAAGATCACGGGTTTGTCGGTCATTTTGAGATCAAGTCCCGTGACTGGGAATCTGGTGAAAATAGCGTTTTCGGACAAGCTGTCAACTGTCTTATTGAGACGATTTTAACTGAACGAACTTAAAAAGCAAAAAACTTGGAGTGGAATTACCCATAAAGAATGCAATTTACCTCTTTGTAACAACTGAAATAATTGAATTATTCTTGTACATAAGGAAAACTGGTGGCCTGGTGTTAATGGTAGTTAAAATGTCGACGCCGGATCCTTGCCATTACGTCAAAAAGAAACTTTACTCCTCTTCGTCTTTCTCCATCAAGTTGAATACCCTGCGATGTAGTAGCATCCGATCTTATCTTGAGGGGGTCAGCAATACATCCGGGCATTTTATGCTAATGTCACCGGGATGTGGGCCTCATTGTCGCCAGGTCGGCCTTAGTTCTCCCCCTACCTGTCCCTGGACCGATCCCGTCCAGCGGCCCATTTCTCCAAAGACCCGGAAACGTTTCGGGCCCAAAGGCAACTTTTAAAATCAACACTTGTTGAGTAGTAGCACAGTTCCTAGCTAACAAACCAGTCAATTTAGCTTTTTTAACTGATAGTTTTATTGTATTATTTTAGAAATTATTAATACCTTGTTCGTAACTGTAAAGAAGGCAAACACATATTTATATATTTTTGTTATTTGCACGTAAAGGGAACTAAAACAACAAAAATGAATCCAGAACCTGAGCCTAAATATCGGCGCAATGCCTCATTGTCTGAAACGGAGCCGAAGGATTCCGACTTTCTCCCGACAGCAGAAAAAACGATTGCCGAACTTCTTCCGGAGTGGTCAAAAGCTATCAAAGAGTGGGGAGTTTCACCAGTACGGTCTGGGTGCAGTTTACGCCTTACTATTCTTTATGATATCAATGTGGCTATGGAAACGTATAAGACGAGTGCTTACTGGTAACCAAGGCAACAAAGTACCTATTATTGTTTTAAGCCTTCTTGGCTTTTTCTGTTTAACCAGAAGTTTGTGTCTTTGCATTGATGCTTGTCACTGGAGAAAAATCACCCCGGTGGCTTTTGTTAATGTTCTCTGGGGTATTGGCCAACCGTGTCTCATCGCGGTTTACACCTTGGTCTTCATTGTAATGCGAAACGCACTAACGCTCAAGCAGCATTTTCAACAGTGGTACAACACAAGAAACATAGCAATAGCCACTCTACCGTATTTTATTTTTGCGCTAGCCGCAGAGCTCACTTTGTTATTCGTACCTGCGTACAAAGGCCTCGCTTTTACTTGTCAGCTTTTGTACATCTTGTTCGGCGTTTCTCTGACAGTATTCTACGCAATAATATCAGTTTTGCTCTGGAGAAGGCTCTCCATCTCCAAAAATCAATGGGCAACGGACACGGCACGGGCCCGCGGCAAACGCATCCGAGCAATCGAGCGTGTATTGCAGCCGCGTTTGGCGGACTCAGCATCTGTGCCATGCAATTCTACGTCATGACTAGCGTGTACGGCGTGTTTTCGAATGCACGAAGCGTACCTGCTTGGCCGTGGTGGGCGTTCCAAACGACCTTTCGAGTGATTGAGATTTACATGGTAGCAATTCTCTGCTACGCTGTAAATGACAGAGGAGTGGATGCGAAGAAAGGTGAAATAGCACCTTCAAGTATTGTCTCAGAGACGCAATTTAAACCCAAGTTGGTTGAAATGAGTGAACAAATATAATTGGCAAGAAGGTGAACCTAAAAACGTTTATTATAACTGTTGGACATTTTTGCTTTATCTGTATACTTCGGTCAGTATAACAAACAGGAACCCCCACCTTCCACCCTTTCATCCCCTGATCAAAGTTGGCGCGTTAAGCTGTAACCAACAGGAAACCGAACCAGCATTGCCCACGGGGAGATCTGGAAAGGTGGCGGGGGTGGGAGGGAGTGAGGAAGCTAGACATTTTTATTTCAAGACGTGTTTACTACGAGTGTCGCACAAAAGAGAAAAATGTTGCTGGAAGAAACTGGCCACCTTTTCCGAATTTTCCAGGCTTCCTTTTCAAAATAAGTTTAAGTACAAAACTCTACGTTGCCAAGAATTTTTCTTATGCCCAGAAAAATTCATTTAAATATGAAAGGTTTTGAATTTTCCCTCATTTGGAAAGGGATTTAGCCATGTTAAAATGGCCTATCGCTATTGTTGTGATGGACTATATTCCATTAACTTCTTATGATTATGAAGGAAAAATTGGAAACAAGAACTGTTATTGATAACAAACGAGGCCGCCAAACTATGGCAAGGAAAGTAAACTGCTTTTAAAGTTTTAATCACGAGCGTAACCGAAATAAAAAGATGGCGTGTACCGAATCTAAGGTGTGAACTAGTTAACGCTTCCACAATTGATAGTGTAACTTGACGGTTTTAAAAAGCAAGCTCCACTGGGCGTGACGCCTTACTGGCCCAGCTCCTACACGAAGCCCTGAGATCTCTAGTTCTGCTTTTAAAGTTTTAATCACGAGCGTAACCAAAATAAAAAGATGGCGTGTACCGAATCTAAGGTGTGAACTAGTTAACGCTTCCACAATTGATCGTGTAACTTGACGGTTTTAAAAAGCAAGGTCCACTGGGGGTGACGCCTTACTTGCCCAGCACGCACACCAAGCCCTGAGATCTCTAGTTCTGGAAGTTATAGCTGCATTTGGTTTATTTTCGTTTCAAAATTATCTGTTTCCACAGTATACACGGTTAAGGAAATCCTTATTTCCAGAAACCCTTAATTTGCCCTGCGACCATGACTCACTTAACCGGATTTATGTCGAGTAAGTGTCGAGTAAGGTCGAGGTAAATCATTGACATGCACAAGGGTCGAGCCCATGACGTCACTCATTGTTATAACCAAGGGAAAAAGTGGATTCCTCCATATCTATGAGCGTCTCTCTTACATAATAGGAACAATAGGCTTGCCCGGTAAGTAACTTTAACCCGGTTTGTCGGATCGTCTATTAAAAAAATGGGAATAAGAGGAGCGATCACCTAGCAACGCGAGAAACGGCTTGTGTCTTCTTATTTAGCGCTAAAAATCGGATATATAAAACAGAACATACACACACAAAGTGAAGCTGAAAACTCTTTATTTCAACTTTGACTGGCTCTTACAAAAGCATTTTCTCCGTTCTGTCTTGAGGGGACGACAAACTATTGAAGTCTCAGCCCTTGGTGAGTTTATTGTCTAGTTTCATGTGCCGTTAGTCAGTTAATTATGCGAGTTAACAAGCCCACATTTGCATACACTTTGGCTCTACAATAAAACGGCGAACTCAAACTCCTTCAAAATCGCTCAAAAAACCGTGAGGTAATTCAACGTTTATTTAACATTGATTTATATACATACTTAGCGATATATCGCTATAGGTGAGGCAAAATTAACAACGGTTACACACAGATTGTGTGGGTCCCCTGTGGTTTGTTCGTACTTTTCGCTTTCAAAAATTTTAGATTGTTCAGTGTTCCCAAGTTATCGTCTGTTACGCCGTGCAAGAGACTGACAGCATATTTTGGGACCACTTCTTCATCACTAACCGTAGGGCGAACTAGAACAACGTAAATTACTCTACAATATGTGCTCACCTTTCCTGTATTAGTTATGAAACTCACTCCTACGCTTTTCATCCCAGAACAATGCGGATTCCGTATTAAATTGAGTTTTTGAACGGTTACCAAGCGTTTGGAAAAGTGTTCCGCTCCAAAATCTTTCAGTCACCAGTGTTTAAACCTAAAGCGTAGACGCTCTACCCTTGTCTAGCGGACCGGAGGAAGTCGTCAATCAAAAAGGACATCGAAAGGACAATTTCAACCCAGTGGTATAGTATACGCATTAAATTTGTGAACAACAAGGTGAACGTTGCAGCTACCTCGCGGACAGCTTCAAATCGCTCAAGGCCGGAAGTACATGAACGTATGCGGAAATCGACCGAAGTATAAAGAATTTCTGCTTTAATATACCATGACTACAAAGTATGAATTACCCGAAGAAGCCGATGTCAAACTACTGAGCAATTTGGGAAAGGAAGTAGAAATGAAGACCTTTAAAACAAACGTTCCCCCGAAGTTAGAGTGTGACAAAGATCAAGTGCTGAAGATAAAAATTCTTTGCGTCGGGGACTATACCGGGGGAGTGGGAAGAAAAGGGGTGCTTATCAACGATTATCTGCAAGTCACACCACCGGTACCGACCCATCTGAGACCACTAATCGGTTGCGACTTTTACTTGAAAACAATAAAATGGGAAAAAGGCGGCGATCACAATCCATGGCCAATTACCATCGAATTACTTTTATTTGAGCTGGCAGAACAAGAGTGCTTTACATGCATGACAAATTTGTATTATAGGGACAGTCATGGGGCTTTAGTATTCTGGGGTCCGGGCAATTCATCCTCCCTGGATGGGGCTCCGAAATGGTTGAACGACGTGAACAGAGTTTGTCCATCAATCTCGTGCGTTCTTGTCACGGACAACACTTCAAATAAGCCTCTGTACGGTCCTAAGGAGAAATTCGAGAGTGAGATGGCATTTGATCAGTTCTGGAAAGATCACGGGTTTGTCGGTCATTTTGAGATCAAGTCCCGTGACTGGGAATCTGGTGAAAATAGCGTTTTCGGACAAGCTGTCAACTGTCTTATTGAGAAGATTTTAACTGAACGAACTTAAAAAGAGAAAAAACTTGGATGAAGTGGAATTACCCATACAGAATGCAATTCACCTCTTTATAACAACTGAAATAATGGAATTATTCTTGTACATAAGGAAAACTGGTGGCCTGGTGTTACTGGTAGTTAAAATGTCGACGCCGGATCCTTGCCATTACGTCAAAAAGAAACTTTACTCCTCTTCGTCTTTCTCCATCAAGTTGAATACCCTGCGATGTAGTATGCAGTTTACGCCTTACTGTTCTTTCTGATATCAATGTGGCTATTTAAACGTATAAGACGAGCGCTTACCGATAACCAGGGCAACAAAGTACCTATTATTGTTTTAAGTCTTCTTGGCTTTTTCTGTTTTACCAGAAGTTTGTGTCTTTGCATTGATGCTTATCACTGGAGAAAAATCACCCCAGTGGCTTTTGTTAATGTGCTCTGGGGTATTGGCCAACCCTGTCTCATCGCCGCTTACACCTTGGTCTTCATTGTAATGCGAAACGCACTAACGCTCAAGCAGCATTTTCAACAGTGGTACAACACAAGAAACATAGCAATAGCCACTCTACCGTATTTTATTTTTGCGCTAGCCGCAGAGCTCACTTTGTTATTCGTACCTGCGTACAAAGGCCTCGCTTTTACTTGTCAGCTTTTGTACATCTTGTTCGGCGTTTCTCTAACAGTATTCTACGCAATAATATCTGTTTTGCTCTGGAAAAGGCTCTCCATCTCCAAAAATCAATGGGCAACGGACACGGCACGGGCCCGCGGAAAACGCACTCGAGCAATCTTACGAACGTGTATTGCAGCCGCGTTTGGCGGTCTCAGCATCTGTGCCATGCAATTCTACGCCATGACTAGCGTGTACGGCGTGTTTTCGAATGCACGAAGCGTACCTGCTTGGCCGTGGTGGGCGTTCCAAACGACCTTTCGAGTGATTGAGATTTGCTACGCTGTAAATGACAGAGGAGTGGATGCGAAGAAAGGTGAAATAGCACCTTCAAGTATTGTCTCAGAGACGCAGTTTAAACCCAACGTGGTTGAAATGAGTGAAGAAATATAATTGGCAAGAAGGTGAACCTAAAAAGGTTTATTATAACTGTTGGACATTTTTGCTAGATCTGTATATTTCGGTCACTATAACAAACAGGAACCCCCACCTCCTACCCTTTCATTCCCTTATCAAAGTTGGCGCGTTAAGCTGTAACCAACAGGAAACCGAACCAGCATTGCCACCGGGGAGATCTGGAAAGGTGACGGGGGTGGGGGGGAGTGAGGAATCTAAACATTTTTATTTCAAGTAGTGTCTACTACGCAGTGTCGCACAAAAGAGAAAAATGTCGCTGGAAGAAACTGGCCACCTTTTCCGAATTTTCCAGGCTTCCTTTTCAAAATAAGTGTAAGTACGAATACTCTACGTTGCGAAGAATTTTTCTTATGCCCAAAAATAATTATTCAAATATGAAGGGTTTTGCATTTTCCCTCATTTGGAAAGGGATTTAGCCATGTTAAAATGGCCTGTCTCTACTGTTGTCATGTACTTTATTTCATTAGCTTCTTGTGATTATGACGGAAAAATTGGGGTACAAGAACTGTTATTGCTAACAAACGAGGCCACCAAGCCATGGCAAGGAAAGTAAACTGCTTCTAAAGTTTTAATCACGAGCGTAACTGAAATAAAAAGATGGCCTCCACCGAATCTAAGGTGTGAACTAGTTAACACTTCCACTATTGATAGTGTAACCTAACGGTTTTAAAAAGCAAAGTCCACTGGGGGTGACGCCTCACTAGCCCTGCCTTTACATCAAGCCCTGAGATCTCTAGTTCTGGAAGTTATAGCTGCATTTGGTATATTTTCGTTTCAAAATTATCTGTTTCCACAGTATATACGGTTAAGGAAATTTTAGAGGCTGACAGTTTTTTATTGAAATGAAATGTTTTTAATTCGAATAAATTTTTCTTAGTTAAATTAACTCTTTCTAAGCTAAATTAAGTGCTTTTTTAAATCGACAGGAATTGTAAATAGTGTTTTGAATGAACAGTTTTTTCCTTTTTTTCAAGCGAATTTATAGTAAATAGGATCTGTTTCCACAGTATATACGGTTAAGGAAATACTTTTCCAGAATCCCTTAATTTGCCCTGCGACCATGACTCACTTAACCAGATTTATGTCGAGTAAGGTCGAGGTAAATCATTGATATGCATAAGGGTCGAGCCCATGACGTCACTCATTGTTATAACCAAGGAAAAAAGTGGGTTCCTCCATATCTATGAGCGACTCTCTTACATAATAGGAACAATAGGCTTGCCCGGTAAGTAACTTTAACCCGGTTTGTCGGATCGTCTATTAAAAAAATGGGAATAAGAGGAGCGATCACCTAGCAACGCGAGAAACGGCTTGTGTCTTCTTATTTAGCGCTAAAAATCGGATATATAAAACAGAACATACACACACAAAGTGAAGCTGAAAACTCTTTATTTCAACTTTGACTGGCTCTTACAAAAGCATTTTCTCCGTTCTGTCTTGAGGGGACGACAAACTATTGAAGTCTCAGCCCTTTGTGGGTTTATTGTCTTGTTTCACGTGCCGTTAGTCAGTTAATTATGCGAGTTAACAAGCCCACATTTGCATACACTTTGGCTCTACAATAAAACGGCGAACTCAAACTCCTTCAAAATCGCTCAAAAAACCGTGAAGTAATTCAACGTTTATTTAACATTGATTTATATACATACTTAGCGATATATCGCTATAGGTGAGGCAAAATTAACAACGGTTACACACAGATTGTGTGGGTCCCCTGTGGTTTGTTCGTACTTTTCGCTTTCAAAAATTTTAGATTGTTCAGTGTTCCCAAGTTATCGTCTGTTACGCCGTGCAAGAGACTGACAGCATATTTTGGGACCACTTCTTCATCACTAACCGTAGGGCGAACTAGAACAACGTAAATTACTCTACAATATGTGCTCACCTTTCCTGTATTAGTTATGAAACTCATCTGTACGCTTTTCATCCCAGAACAATGCGGATTCCGTATTAAATTGAGTTTTGAACGGTTACCAAGCGTTTGGAAAAGTGTTCCGCTCCAAAATCTTTCAGTCACCAGTGTTTAAACCTCAAGCGTAGACGCTCTCCCCTTGTCTAGCGGACCGGAGGAAGTCGTCAATCAAAAAGGACATCGAAAGGACAGTTTCAACCCAGTGGTATAGTATACGCATTAAATTTGTGAACAACAAGGTGAACGTTGCAGCTACCTCGTGGACAGCTTCAAATCGCTCAAGGCCGGAAGTACATGAACGTATGCGGAAATCGACCGAAGTATAAAGAATTTCTGCTTTAATATACCATGACTACAAAGTATGAATTACCCGAAGAAGCCGATGTCAAACTACTGAGCAATTTGGGAAAGGAAGTAGAAATGAAGACCTTTAAAACAAACGTTCGACCGACTTTAAAGTATGACGAAAATCATAGGCTGCTTATCAAAATTCTTTGCGTCGGTGACTATACCGGGGGAGTGGGAAGAAAAGGGGTGTTTATCAGCGATTATCTGCAAGTCACACCACCGGTGCAGACCAATCAGTGTCCAGTACTCGGTTGCGCCATACACTTAAAAACAATAAAATGGAAAAAAGGGGATCAAGATCACGATCCAATTACCATCAAACTACAATTTTGGGAGATGGCTGAATATGAGCGCTATAGATCCGTGTTAAATTCACAAGGTAGGAACAGTCATGGGGCATTAGTATTCTGGGGTCCGGGCTATTCATCCTCACTGGATGAAGCTCTGAAATGGTTGAAAGACGTGAACAGAGCTTGTCCATCAATTCCGTGCGTTCTTGTCACGGACAACACTTCAAATAAGCCTCTGTACGGTCCTGGCGAGAAATTCGAGACTGATATGGCATTTGATCAGTTCTGGAAAGATCACGGCTTTGCAGATCATTTTGAGATTAAGGCCCGTGACTGGAATTCTGGTGAAAATAGCGTATTCGGACAAGCTGTCAACTGTCTTATTGAGAAGATTTTCGATGAAAAAACTTGGATGTAGTGGAATTACGCATACACAATGCAATTTACCTCTTTATAACAACTGAAATAGTGGAATTATTCTTGTACATAACGAAACCTGATGGCCTGGTGGTAAAGATGCAGAGGTCGAAGCATTGCCATTACGTTGTTTCCCGGCAGACGAGAAACTTTACTCTTCTTCGATTCTCTCCACCAAGTTTAATACCCTGCGATGTAATAGCATCCGATCCCATCAAGAGGGGGATCAGCAATACATCCGGGCATTTTATGATAATGTGACCGGGATAAACTTCGGCCAGTTGTGGGCCTCATTATCCCTAGGTTGGCCTTAGTTCTCCCCCCCCCGCCCGCACCTGGACCGATCCCCTAAAGGGGCCCGTTCGAAATAAGTGTTAGTACGAACACGCTTCGTTGCGAAAAATGCCAAAAAAAAAATTCATTAAGATATGGATGGTTTTGCATTTTTCGTCATTCGGAAAGTGACGGACTAACTCATGTTGAAATGGCCTATCGCTACTGTTGTGATGCACTTGTATTCCATAAAGTTCTTATTCGAAATTAATAAATAATCATCTTTATTGAGGACACTTTTTCATAAAAGATATGGTTTTCAAAAAGGATCTCAAAACTAGATATATATTATAAAAACAAAAAAAAGCTATAAAATTGCAAAGGGATTAAAAAGATACAAAAAATGCATAAAAAAATAAAAATAAGTATAAGTAAAAATTAAACGTAACTAGCTATATCAAAAACTTAAAAACATTACGTTTAAAACTATTTACATTCCTTGAGTCTTTGATCGTCTGACTGAGGGAGTTAAAATCGGAAACGGCATGCTATTAGAGAGTTTTAGATCCGAGTTTACCGCGAACCTCTAACCGCTGAAGGTCACGTGACAAGTCTTTCGCGTCACGTTTGAGGTTTACGACGTGCGTTTTCAACGTGGGGAGGTAGGTTTTCACGTAGGTCATTTACCTGAAAGCTTTTAGCGTATACATCTTGTTTTATCTCACGTAATGATACAAAAATCTTGTGGAGCAAGTCTTTATCCATTAACAGAGGCACAAATTCGGGCCAAATCCTAAATTTGATAAATCCTATTGGATCTTGAAAACAAGTTCCGTTCATGGCGGCTGATTCAAAATGGCGGCAGTAAATTTGCAAGAAGAACTCTAGCTAATGTAAGAATTTACAGCTCTTTGCTGCTAGATAACCAAGTGTTATTCTAAATTTCTTTTATTTTCACTGATTGATATTTCTTCTATTTCTAAATGGAAAAATAAACCAGAATCCCCTTCTTTAAACCACCGCCAATCTAAATCGAATTATGTTTGAACTTCGAACCGCAAACGGGTAACCGCAAACCGCGGTTAGAGGTTCGCGGTAAACTCGGATCTAAAACTCTCTATTGTGTTCTTTGCTTCCCCCAATTTCTTTTGACACGTGGTAATCTAAAATTGCCTTTGTTACGTGTATTATGCCTATGAAGTACGTCTTGTCTAATCAAGTCCATATCGAGATTAATTAGGCCATTGATGCATTTGTATACGTGTACACACCTTCTATGAAATCGCCTTTTCTCTAGAGGCAGCCACTTGAGAACGGCTAATCCCTCAGTGGAGGATGAGTACAATGGTCTATTTAAAATAACTTTAGCGGCCTTATTTTGCAAAACTTGCAAACTAGACATAAGGGTAATATTTTGTTTATCGCCCCAATACTAGATCAGCATATTCAAAAAGGGGCATAACAAGACTTTTATAAAAAAGTAGACGAGCCCTGAAAGGCAATAAATGCTTTATACGCTTGAGAAGCCCAAGCCTCTGATTGATTTTCCCAGTTAGGTGTTCAATATGATCAGTCCATGTGAAATCCGAAGATATATGTATACCGAGGTATTTAAAGCTGCGAACATTACTTATACTATGATCTAAAATTGAAATAGTAAAATTAAGGTGTGAATTAGTTAACGCTTGCAAAATTAATAGTGTAACTTGGTGGTTTAAAGCAAACTCCAACCAGAGATCTCTAGTTCTGCAAGTTATAGCTGAATTTGGTATATTTTCGTTTTAAAATTATCTGTTTCGGCACTATATACGGTCAAGGAAATACTTTTTTTCCAGAATCTATTAAATTCCCGGCGACGGTGACTCACCGTAAGCCCTATGTCGCGGCATTTTCCTCCTTAGAAAGGAAGGCATTGAAATCATTGAAGCTTTCAAGACTCACAAATCAAATTTATTAAAGCCAGTTAACAGTGTAAATTGATTTACTGTAGTTAATAAGCATCTTTAAGTAAGGGAAATAAAATAAAAACTACCTCACATCCCTAAAGGCTTATTTTCTTAACTTTTGAAATATGTTGTATTTTGTTGGTAAAATCCATGGAAAAAGTCATTTTAATTGACACAGTAAAAACCCAACCACCTCACACCTCCTGCCTCTCTACCCCTGACTCCTCACTCAAGTCCCTAGTGGTCATGCGCAGCAGAGCTTTGGGGTCGCGACTGTCGAGTCACGCAGTAGTCACCAGTGTTTAAACCTCAAGCGTAGACGCTTCACCCTTGTCTAGCAGACCGGAGGAAGTCGTCAATCGAAAAAGGAGATCGAAAAGGACAATTTACACTCCGTGGTGTAGTATATGTTTTAAATTTGTGAACAACAAGGTTGAAGTCGTAGTTGCCTCGAGGACGCATTTCAAATCGCTCAAGGTGATCTTAAAGGCCGGAAGTACATGAACGTATGCGGAAATCGAGCGAATATATAGAATTTCTGCTTTAATATACCATGGCTACAAAGTATGAATTACCCGAAGAAGCTGATGTCAACCTACTGAGCAATTTGGGGAAGGAAGTGGAAATGAAGACCTTTAAACAAACGTTCTCCCGACGTTAGAGTGTGACAAAGATCAAGTGCTGAACATAAAAATTCTTTGCCTCGGAGACTATACCGGGGGAGTGGGCAGAAAAGGGGTACTTATAAAAGATTATCTGAAAGTCACACCACCGGTACCGACCCATATGAGACCACTAATCGGTTGCGACTTTTACTTGAAAACAATAAAATGGGAAAAAGGCGGCGATCACAATCCATGGCCAATTACCATCAAATTACTTTTATTTGAGGTGGCAGAACAAGAGCGCTTTACACGCATGACAAATTTGTATTATAGGGACAGTCATGGGGCATTAATATTCTGGGGTCCGGGCAAATCATCCTCACTGGATGGAGCTCCGAAATGGTTGAACGACGTGAACAGAGTTTGTCCATCAACTCCGTGCGTTCTTGTCACGGACAACACTTCAAATAAGCCTCTGTACGGTCCTGGCGAGAAATTCGAGAGTGAGATGGCATTTGATCAGTTCTGGAAAGATCACGGGTTTGTCGGTCATTTTGAGATCAAGTCCCGTGACTGGGAATCTGGTGAAAATAGCGTTTTCGGACAAGCTGTCAACTGTCTTATTGAGAAGATTTTAACTGAACGAACTCCCATACAGAATGCAATTTCACCTCAACTGAAACAGTGGAATTATTCTTGTACATAAGGAAACCTGTGGCCTCTTGGTGGTTAAAAGATGTTGACGTCGGAACTACAAATACTCTACGCCTTTTTCTTATGCCCACATTAAAGGTTTTGAATTTTCCCTCATATGACAAGGCCATTTTTTTTAATTACGAAAAATAAAAAGATAACGTGTACCGAATCTAAGGTGTGAACTAGTTAACGCTTCCTCACTTTTTCCACGTTTTACGGGCACACCAAGCCCTGTTCTGACGACGGTTCAAATTTGAGAATCCTCCTTATGGTCCTGGCGTTTTCGAGAATATTATTGAGCCACGGGTGGCATTTGATCAAAATATATTATATTTTGTTGGTTCTGGAAATCTGCCTCCGCTCACAAGTCATTTGTCGAGTTCACGAGTTTTGAGATCAAGTCCCGTGACATCTGGGAATCTGGTGAAAATAGCGTTTTGGACAAGCTGTCAACTGTCTTATTGAGAAGATTTTAACTGAACGAACTTAAAAAAAGGAAAAAACTTGGATAAAGTGGAATTACCCATACAGAATGCAATTCACCTCTTTATAACAACTGAAACAGTGGAATTATTCTTGTACATAAGGAAACCTGGTGGCCTGGTGTTACTGGTGGTTAAGATGTTGACGTCGGAGCCTTGACATTAAGTCGTTTCTTTCGACAAGTGGAGATTTTTGAAAACGCCGGCTTTTCGTTTACGGGTGGACGACGATGATTTCATGCATCAAAAACAAGGATCTTTGTCCCCATTACAATCTTATTCAAAGAAAACTTTAAGAAAAAATGTCCCGAAAAGCGCCCGAAAATACAAACGAAATGTGCTCATGCCTCCTGGGCATCCTATAATACTCCTCAAATCGAATTAATTCAATATGGCCGCCGTATTGGTAAAAAGGTCTATGGGACTTAAAAATGAGAAGATTTTACTTCATTAATGAAGTAGACCTAGGTTAAAAGGTTTTATAAAGTATATGTACAAACAGAAAGTTTAATACTATATTGGGAGTCGCGAAAACTACATTTTCCCAAAAGTGAATAAGATGGGGTCTATACTTGGCAACAGAATAGACTATAATGGGATAGGGTTTCTGAGAGGTCAGCGGCACATACCCAGGAAAAATTAACCCAAGTAACCCTCCCCACCTCCCCGGGTTTCATGCCACTGCGACCGGGATAAGTTTCGGCCGTGTCGACTTCATTGCCGGCCCTAATTGCGCCTCAGTTCTCTAACACCAATCATCGCAGGTTTCTCGCTCCGGGGTATTGAGATCTTTCTTTTCTCTTCACTTTTAAACACAAATTTGTTTCAAATAGTTAAAATTCTTGGTAAATTAAAGTATGAGTTACTGTTGCAAGGAAGACAAAAAGAAAATAAACACAAAGAAACAAAATTACAACGATCGTATAAACACCCGGCCAAGATATAGCACCGTGTGGTTGTCTTACAAACACAAGTCAATTATTAAAATTGTACGTAAAAAACTAGCGTTGCGGCATTAACAATAGATTAAGGAACTGTCTAATTAACTTTGAATTCAGAATACGAATTCACTTAACATTTGGATAACATCTTGCATTGTATTAACTCTGTAATATTCTCATCTGGTATTAACTATAAGAAAAAGATGGATTACACGATAGGAAACTGTAATCATAATCTGTCTACGTATGAAACCATTAAAATGCAGGAGGGCGACAGCTGGGAAAAGTGAACCAGGGCAAATATTATCATAGGTCGACGGAGGATACCTGTATTGTGATCATGTAAGCGATTAAATATTCTCCTCAACGCGCACGGACTCGAAACGAGCTTTGAACTAACTCAGTGCAGATAAACAAGTCCAAATTCATATCAAAATGGGCAAACAAGGCATATTAGTGAAAATATCGGAAATAAAGTACTTAAGAACGGATGTTATCTGTTACGCGAGTACCCCCGGAAAGCGATTAAAAGTTTCCGAGATAAATAAGGTGTAAATTTTCTTTTGCTCATAGTTTGGTTAATTTACGGTGCGACAGACCGTAATTAAGTTCGGTCGAGCCTGAATTCAATACCGATTTCCCATTATTTTTCAAACACGGCAAGTGTATTGAATATTGTATAGAGGCTAGGAAAATACAAAACTCAGTGTTAAGGGTGTTTTGCCAATCTAACGATCGGGTGTATACTTTATTGTTAAAAAGAGTGGAAAATGTTGAAGTCAAGAACAACACGGCAGCGAGCCAAGATGTCCGGAAAGGAACACTGATCAACGATGGAACTGTTACTCGGATTGACCAACATTCATCTCACTGCAGGAAGTTTTAGTTTTTGAAAACAGAATTGTAAGTACTGTATTTCTTAAAAAATATCAGTATTTTTAAACGAATGCCTCACTCTAAGGGATTGCAAAAAAACTTTGACGACATTGCTGTTTCTACAGTAAGCACTTACAATTTACCGTGAGCGGCCCGTCTTTCCATTCGCACAAACGTACAGTTTCAGTAAATGGCCAAAAGAGCGAATTCGGGAAAAGAAATAGGACTTTGGTTGTAAGCGAACTTCATTACTTTTATTGAAGGATGTAGCCCATTGTATGCGAAGGATCATACAAATATTTCTTTTTGTAGATAAAAAAAAGAAAGCTTAGAGCTGAGCAGATGGTTTTGTGTGTGATTTGTGTAGGTCATGTTTATAATGAAACTGAGTTTTACTTTTCATTTCTTTATTTCACGTCAATAATAGGTTTTCAAACGAAGTGCAGTCAATATTTGTCGTGAAAGCCTTCTGCAAAATGACTCAGCCGACTTCGGAGAGTTCCCCGGAGCCAACGGGAATTGAAGCCGAATATGCTAGTCCCGAGCAAGAATCGATATATGGGGGCAAAGCCGAACCAGCAGCCGAACCCCAGCCCGAGTGGACGACGGCAGTAAATCAATGGGGTATCGCCTGGGATTTTCATCAATACGGCATCGGGGCGTGTTTCGGGTTGGTGGGTATGTTAGCTCGTATCATTCGTGAGAATGCTAATAACCAACAAAGGAACGCGACAGAAGAAAGTGTCCCTCGTGGTCTTGAGCCAGATTATTTTGTTCGGTTTCTCACGATGTATTTTCTTGTGCGTCGATGCTTATCACTCGAAGAAACACATTCACATCACGGTGCTGAATTTAATCTGGGGACTTGGCCAGCCGTCGTTGGTAACAGCGTTTATGCTTATATTTCTGGTCTTGAGGAACGCTCTGACGTTGAAGGCGAGGTTTCAAACTTGGTACACGACGCGAAACATAGCTCTGGTTACTGTTCCCTACTTTACTTTCGTCTTTGCATCCGAAGTGGTCGTTTCTTTGATGCCATCTTACAAAGCCTTAATTTTTGCTTGTCAGATGATCAACACGTTGTTATACCTAAGCTTGGCTTGTTTCTACGTGTTCATTTCGCTTCTGATCTGGAAAAAACTACGCCTGGTTCGAAACGGCCTTTCAAATACGCGTACAAGAGGGCAGCAAACTTTGTCTATCTTAAAACGCTGCGTGGGTGCCTTTGTTGGGGGTTTTAGCATTGCTGTCATGCACGTTTACTCTATGACAGGCGTCTACAGCGTTTTTTCCGACGTCCAACACGTTGCAGTGTGGCCGTGGTTCGCTTTCAACACGTCACTGCGTTGTTTGGAGTTGGGAATGTCTGTGTTGTTGTACACGATGGGAACAGAGAATAACGCAAAGCGACCGAGAAAGATCGACGTTGCACCGCTGACATTGATACAGTCAAAGTAAGAAGGCGACTTCGGAAGAAAGCCTGATGCTTTATACAGCGTCAGAAAAACAGCGTCGTTCAACACAGAACTTCCATTTAAGGCGCCGGGACTCACATCGACACTACTTACGAAGTTGGATTAATCCTACGACGGTTTTATGGGAATTGACGCCACAATACTGGTATCCAACAAATGATCAACTACACTATGAGAGATCGGAAAAGTTAAACTACCTTCCTTAAACAAGTAACCATAGCAACAGTATAACTTCATTAAAAAACCCCTTAATACAGTCTTCTAGTTCTTCTGACTCAAAAACTAGTTCGGTGACCTTCATTTTTATCATGAAATTCTAGTCAGCTCGTTAAGAAAACACAAAAAAGAGATTAAGGCTTGAGGTGTTTCAGAGCGACCTTAAATTTTCCAAAAGTCCCTCTTTTCGCTTGAGGAAGGCACTGATGCCATTATATATAAAGATTTCTTCCATCTGTTTCACCAACCAACAACTACTTGTCGCCATAATCAAGCAAAGTAAAAAGAAACACCAACTAAGGTCACTCTTATTCATATATTTTATTGTTGCATAAATATTGAATTCATTTTCACCTTTGAAGAATAAAAGAAGGTGAACAGAAAGTTTCCCCTTGGTATTAAATTTCGCTTTGAGTGTTTAACCACTTAAAGCTTTGCTAACATTCGATTTTTTTTTTATCGTGCGCCGAACGTGTAGTTTCGCGCGGGACCTTCACATGCCGGTCGCGAGTGTAAAACGTCTCTCAGCGTCAGGCTCAATCTTTGAGTCTCGCCTTCCGTTTTCACACCCGCTCCAGACCGATTTAGCGCAGTCATGACCAATGAAAAGACATGGCTATTTAGCAGTGTCGACCTTTGTTATTTGCAACTCCAGTAAAATGGGTAAAAGCCTTCTGGGATCGCTTGGGTGAACAAGCATTAGTTTGATTGGTTCGTGGTTGCCCCTGGATACCATTAACCAGTTAAAACTAACACTTCTCCACCCACACGATCCCATAAATCATTGCGCTAAAAGCTTGTACTCAGTCCCCCGAACGTTTATAGAAAGAGGTGAAGTTTATCTTTCTGAATATTTTGAAGTTTTAGGTGGACCTTGCATCTAGAGTATACAGGAACAAACATAAATGAATTGTTATTAAAACCACAGGGAAAGTTGTTTAGGCTTCACTTGCAAAATAAACAAGTGAGAGTTACGTTGCATTAGTGTTCAGGCTCTCAACAAGGCATTAACCACGGCCTTGACATTAAGGCTTTTTAGGTCGCTGTACGTTTGTCCTGTGCCCACAAACACAATTGGCTGGCCAGTGGTGTATGTCATGGAGATAGCGGCGCCAACCTAGCAATCACAAAAAACCCCGCTCAGACGTCGATCGTACGATACCGTAAACTACCTTTATGAGGCACCCCCTCGGGGGATCAGAATCAAATCCGAACTTCCAGTTGGTAAATAAACCATCCTGGAACACTCCACAGGAAGTTTTACGGTCGTGATTGATTAATAGTCTCTCATTTATTGGTGAAGAATAATTAGGGGGAGGGTAGGGGAGGGGGCCTAATAGAGAAGGGGGGCTTATTACCTCTCTTCCCCTGAAAAGGGGGGGGGGGCTATTACAGGGAGGGGGATTAATTGAAAGGGAGGACTTACTAGAGGATTTTCAGTATACGTTATTGACCAAGTTTGTTCGGTCAAGATTGCCGTATATTGGCCAAGGTTCTTTTTTGCGTTTTTAATGACCCTACAAACGTGATAAAGAACGAGACCACTACACAGCCCTCTTGACCGAACAAGCTTGGTCAACAAAAGGTTTGTTATATCGCCAAACAAAAACTTTTTGCGGGACCAAGGCGGGAAATCCTGAGTGAACAAGACGGGCCCATCTTGCCCCCTCGGGTGACCAACAGATATGATAGTCATTTATCTGACGGGGTAGCGCTATCCAACATTTGAACAAACGGGACAAGATCCTTAGGAAATCATGCTACGCCACTAACCTTATCATCAATGGTGTCAAATTTGGTGAGCAGGATGCCATCGATCAATCGCGGGTTTTCACTCATAGAATAATCTGCCAAAGCTTGGTTAAACTTTTTCAGCTGATCCACTGCCTCGTTACCAACCAAAGCCTCTCCAACGAAGAGAACCAAGTCTGGATTGTTGAGCTTGATCAACTAAAACAAATCAAAGGAGAATGACTATTATTTCTCCTCCAATAGACCACCGTATTTTTTCTGACTATGCGACTGGTCCTTTGCTAGCCCGGGGTGGGGGGGTACTCCCCTATATAAGCCATGTAGGTATGTGCCGCCCCAAAGGGTAGGAGTTTTGCGCCGTTTTGGTCTAAAAACGGGTATACACTTTTTGGTCTGGAATCGGGTATGGTTTTCGAGCGAGCTACGGGAGTGTATGAACGTATTTATCGTTTCAATTCCAAATGAGTAAGAAAGAAACAGAAATATGCGAATTCGACATGGATTTTAAGAAATCATTTTTGTTGCTGGTTTAATCTAAGTAATAATGACATAATTTCTTAGAGACCATGTCTGAAAACGGGTATGGATTTTAGAGTCTGAAAACGCGTGTGAAAAATGACATTATTGGGTCTGAATGGGCTCAGGATTTGGAGAACCGCGCGGCACTCCCCTACCAAGAACTCTCAGGGGTACCCTCCCGGGTTTGCTAGTAACTGGTCAGCTTCATAGTGGGTGGTTTGGTTGAGCGGGGTGAGCGCGACTTCTTTGAGCGCTGTGAAGGATAGCCTGACAAAACAGCCGACATTTGGCGACGCCACCACTAGTTTCCACGCGTAATGACGTCTGAGAAACGAGCGTAGAAATTCCATACTGATGACCTGTCACTACCCAGATCTGGGTAGTAAAGCCTCTGACTGCACCACGCGTACCACGCGCCGCGCGTCAAATTTGCCAAACCAATCAGACGCACGACTCAGATCCTGGTGGTGAACGTCATCAGTATGGAATTTCTGCGCTCGTCTCTCAGACGTCATAATTGGCGTTGCGAATGTCGGCTGTTTTCTCAGGCTAGGTAAAGGATTCTTATCCAAAAGGACTACTTCTATCTCACTCCACTTTTCTCGTAGCTTGCGTAGCATGGCGGTTTTGTCGAGCCGGGTGCCCTCGCCCACCTTTATTACTTAGCGTGCCCAACCAAAACCGCCATGCTACGCAGGCTACTTTTCTCGCCACTTTGCTGATTGTTTTCGTGGCTTTCTATGCAAGGAATATTCCTTTACCGCGATGTAAAAAAAAAAAAAACTGTTCGGAAAACAAGCCAGGAACTTGTTATAAATGTACATGAAGGGCTGACTATCACTGACTGGAAGCCAGTGGTTTCGGCACGTAAGAAATCAAGTTTAATTCATATTAGCACATAGCGAAATAACCTTGTAAAAAGTTAACACCACAATCAATCAACCATTTCGATTTTCCCTACTAGAGTTTGGAGTTATACCATTCCATGGTGAACTAAGAAAGTAGGGGGCGAACTTGTAGGGGGCTAATTCACCAGGGGGCACGGCTGACTGTATGTGAATGACCTAACGTAAGTAATGGAAGGCAGTTATTGACGTTAAGTTAAGTTAAAAATCGAAATGGTGGACTAACTTACCTTGGATAAGGCTCTCATGAGTGGTTCATTGTCCTGCATTCGTCCAGCAGTGTCGACCAAAACAACATCAATGCGCTGCTCCCTTGCTGAAGAAAGAGCAAAAACAAAGATCATCAACAGTAGTCATCCCTGATTAATTGTCTTAATAAGCTAAACTCTAATCAATAAAATAATGAACATCAGAAAATCATATGTAGAAACTGCGGGCAGAAGAATTAAACGAAAGAGGATCATCGCATTTACAGACGCAACTTTTGCAGTTGAGAAAAGAAAGCCTGTTAAAATTTAGGCTCGTAAGGGATTCACACCCTTGACTTTTGCGATACCGGTGCAGCGCTCTACCAATTAATCTCACCAATCGTCATACGCGAAGGCAGTGAAAAGAGTCAATCAGAACTAGCTGGCCTAAGACCAGGCTCCTAAGCGGGGAGAGAGGAAGAAAAATGTTGAGCGAGGGCTAGCACCTTAACTTCCCCTCTTCCATTTTTTCCGTCGTCATCTCTTCGCGATTTTTAGCCCCCTCGCCCAAACAGAGAGTTTGTTCGCAGTCTACTTAATCATAGACTGTGAAAACAACCATGTCTCCTATCTCCTTGCCACGTGGGATGTTTCGCCAGTAGAGTCCCTCCTGAGAAACGTCCCCAGCGGCGGGGAGAGAGGACAGACTGCTATTTTTGCAGGATAACTTAACAATAACTCACCAAAATTAATAGCATCCATAGCGATAGCGGCCGCGTCTTTACCATATCCTTTCTCATACAGCAGTACGGATGCTGGTCCGCTGCCACTGGCAGGAGGATGCAGTGCATTCAGGTGACGCACGTGAGTCCTCAGCTGTTCCACAGCTCCTGCACGAAACGTATCACAGGCTGCGATCATCACGCGGAAGCCATTGTCAAGAAGCCAGAAACAAATCTAAACAACAGCAACAAATTATTTTGAGAAAGATATATATATTTTTTCGGTGACACAGG